TAACAAGAATGTATAAATTCTTTATCATACCCAACAAATACCGTTATTATCACAACACCATTTTATGAATCGTAACAAAATAATTTCACTTACGGCAATGCATTTCACATTTGTTTCTGCAAAATAATGATTTCATTTCACCCGTTCAGAAAGCCATATTATTTAAATATGCAGCAATAAAGCTGTCACATTTACATTAATTAGTACTAGTTTATGCATGAGGCCAATCATCTACCTGAGGGACTCCACTTGGGAAGAAAATAGCTTCCCATCCCTCAATCAATATCCTAAATTTCAATTCGTCCTTACCAGACAAAGCAGTGCCAATCTCAAATCCCGGGGGCACATCTTCCTTGAAGAAGCCCGGCTCCTGTTCGAGCCACTCCTTGAGCCAAGAGGCGCACACAGCAGTTTTTTTTGTCCCGCAGTTGCGGTTGTTGAACTCCACTATGTCGAGGGAGGGACAGTTCCTGCCCTTCTAGTGAGCCATGGGCCACTCCACCTGAAGGAACAGAAGGAGTAAAACATATCAGGCCAAGGGATGTACTTTACAGTAAACAACCATATAAACATATACCATGTGGCAAACATAGCCAAAGGCAGGGAGCTTGAGGGGGAAGGTAGTGGCAAGGTTGCTGCAAAATCCATTGATAACCGCCGGCAAGAAAGCAAGATAAGCAAATGGTCGGCCTTCAGCCGAGCAATGCCAAGGAGATCCGTACTTCCCTGCAAGATAGCAATAGAAATTGTAAGTGACAAGTTTTTCACGTAACAATAGTTATCAATAAAAACATAGGAAGCAACTTACCATCTTTATAATGGGCCATCCAGAGAGTAGGATTTCTCTTGGTTGTTAGGTTCAGACCCACCCTCTTCAGCTCGGGCCACTTCTCTTCGAACACACCACCTCCCGCGCCACATCCATACAGCTTGCAAGTTTTGTTGACGGTTTCCCGTTTATTTGTGATCTTGTCCATAGCAGCGGCCTCCTTCTTCGCGGCCCCACCTGCCACAAAATAGTACAAGTCCTTGCACACACCAAACCTGTAGTACTTTCGCACCATTAACGGAACCATATCCGTCCGCTCAGGGTAGAACTGCATCTTTGCCGCCGGGCCCGCCGTAATAATCACGACGTACACGTGGTGCACGTTTTTCTGAGTGAGAAAACAAGGACACAATGCACGGAACATTGATTAATGAATATAAGCAGATCAAGGCAATGGGAGATATATACATTTGAAAGGCAACAAACGCAAAAAATTACTCACCGCAAAGACCTCGTCACCAGACAAGATGGTCGGGATATGTGTCTTCCCGTCCACCTTTTGGCGGCTTCTCCATGTCGATTTGCGGATCATCGAAATCCACAGATTCCACTCTATTGTTGGATTTCGATTAGAGCACGTGAATCTTCGCGTGCAGCACGGCTACCTCCTCCCGAAATGCATCCCTTTTCTGCTCCACCTGGGTCAGTGACGCTTGGTTCTACTGCAATATTGCCATCGTGTTGCGCATATCATCGATCTCAACGATAAGATTATGGTTCATCGCTGCATGATGAGCATCGCATATTGCCATCACGTACAAACAAGGATAACGTAACAAAGGTTTATTATGCTCATTCTCTAATAGTGGTCAAGTCTAAAGAAATTCTAAATCTATAATTAACAGATCAAATATAGTAGTTCTTTTCATATTTTGTTTGGGATCGCAAAGCTTAACGACTGGATGGGGGTTGTCAAACATGAAATCAACGCAGTGTACAACGGAGGGCGAGGCTGTCAAGCCTATGATGCTATTACAAAAGCTGGCCATGAGTTCGTATTTGTTGATGCTAAATGGTCCGTCCTCGATTGGACGAAGCCGACCTTGCAGTCTTGTCCACATGTAAGCGTGCCAGGGTCAGTGTATATCATGTGTGCGGTACGTCGCACACTACGTTGTGCAGGTCGACGATGTCGATGACGAAGTTCCGTACTCGCTTGGACGCAGCCAATTTTGTCGCCAACAAGAACAGCTTGAGAAAGTAGTCGTCGCATGGGCTCTAGCTGTTCAACGAAAGGTTATGGTCGGACAGGCTCAGCTCGGAGGGAACCGGTCGACGAACTCGACGAGCATTGCTGGTCGATAACACTGGTCACAGAGGCCCGTCGATGAACATTGGTCGAAGAGGCCCGTCGCCGAGCGCTAGTTGACGACAGTGGTCGTATAGCCCGTTTGTTGAAGGAATTTGGCCCCGCCCTCCCATGGGCAAAGCTAACTTCGTAGTCGGGTGGGCTGGAGGTGCAACCGACCTTCTGTAGGTGTACACGGGTTGCCTGTACACGAGGTGTACTAGGGAATCCATGCAAGAGTAACTGGAGCATCTACGAGTGCAAAACAAATGTCTTATGCATATGTACAAGTGGCGCAGTTGGTGCTGAGGTTCGCGGGTGTTCATATGCGCAGGGTCGCGTCTGACCCTGCGCACCGTTGCGAATGCACAGGCAAATTTTGGCTAGAAATTCGAATGTGCCCTAATTTAGACCAACGATGAGCTGAAATTTTGGAATGTTGACCGAGGTATTCGACGAAGGTGGTCGACGAAGGTCGTCGACCCGCGACGACGAAGGTCGTCGACCCGCAACGACGAAGGTCGTTGACCCGCGACGAAGGTCATCATCCTGCAGGGTTGCCATGGACTTTACCTGGTTGACCAAGTTACCTGCTCGAGGAGGTTCTGCGGAGGTGCGCGATTGTTGTCGAGGTTGCTGTGGCAACGTCGACCGACATGGTAGCACGTGGTCGACGTGGCTTGTTATGTGCAACCGTTGGCATGTGGATGACAACCTGCGCAATGTGCGCGACAGTGCACGTCGTGCATAACTGTCTACAAGCACGTGCGAAGTATGTGCTTGCACATGCATTTACAATCACATGCGGATGCAATAATGGCAAGACGCGCGGGTGCAGCGTTGGCAGGCCGTCATTTTGCAGCGTTGGCAAGTCGCACACGAGCTGCGACGGCGGGCCGCAGACTTGCTACGTTGGCAAGGTCGACGACGTTGTCGTGCTGGCGATCGACCTGCTTGAGTGCTAGCAAGCCTTGCATCTGATGTAGTCAATCTTTGCTATTGCTTGTTCATTCTCAACTCTGTATTCTCAACTTTCCTTAGTGAAACTCTCGTTGTTTTGTGCTGTGAAGCACAAGAGATAGAGAACACTGATAGAGCTATGATCATTCAAACAACTCTTGCCTACCTAGCAGTCTAGCTCTCACCGTTGTTTAGTTAATCTCCTCAGTGCGGACTGATGCTGGAGTGGTAGGTTTGTCAAGGAGCTATGATCCACAGCCTATGCACTTCGAGATCTTCTCGGCCATTGCTGTTCGACCGAGCAGCGTCGAATAGGTCGACGGGGTGCCTTTCTTTGAGCTCGTTCTCCTGCCTGGGGTTGTTGTTCGGCGAACCTGGCATCGGCAAACCGGTCGTCCGAGGTCTCACAAAGTTGAAACTCTGCGATTGTGTGCAAAATTCGCCCTGGATGGTTAGGAAAATGTAGACAAACGGAACGTCATCTCGTGCTAGTCGTATGAGTTTAGAGGAAACCGACGACATTTCACACATCAACTGCGGGGTGTGCCTGTCAAAATAGTAGCTAAGGCTAAGAAGCCATGGCTAGGGTTTAGGGTAGAACAAGATTGACGAGAAGGTTGCCAAAGCAAAGAGAGAGGTTGCAATATAGAACATGGTACAAGTTATAGGCAAGCATGAGGGTGCACCACCACACAAGAACATAGAACTACACTAAGTATACACTACTGGCAGTTACATAATAATGTTTACAATTACATTCTAACACACCCCCTAACTGCCTGCAGTAAAGAACCATGTGCAGAAACACCCCCGGAACTGGTGCACCACGCAGAGCGCAGCAGAAGGAGAGGGCAAGTGAGGAGGAGGAGGGACTATGCGAGGAGAGGAGGTAGGAAGCGGCGGCTGAAGCTGCTGGCACACGGGCGACTGGAGCAACAGGCACACTGGCTACCGGAGCACGACGGCACCGGACTACTGGAGTAACTGGCTCCACGGCTACGCCGAGCGGCTAAAGCAACTGACCCACGGGCGACTGGTGCAACGGGCTCACTGGCTACCGGAGCACGTCGGCTCTGGACTACTGGCGCTGCTGGCGTTACGGCGGCTACCTCCTGTCAACCTCCCCCCATTGTCCCATACCCTTTTCTCACATCCCCCCGGCTAGCGCCACTCCCCAACCTCACCCACTCCATCCCCCCCTCAGCAGCAGCTGCAGCAGTGGGAGAGAGAGGAGGAGGAGGGGCAGCTGGTTACGCATTCCCACCACCCCCATACCCCCCCTTACCCCCGCCACCCCCATACCCTCCACACGGCTGCACACGCAGCAGGAAATCGAAGGACGAGGGGGGAAAGCGGGCGGCGTCGCGACGTGCAGGGCTCGGGCAGGCAGTGGGGCGCTCGCAACAGGCAGGGCGCGGCGGCAGGCGGGTCCAGGAGGGGCTGCGCGCTGGTCCAGCAGGGGCGGCGCGCGGGTCCCGCGGGGCAGCGCGCGAGCCCCGCAGGGCGGCGCGCAGGTCCAGCGGGGGTGACGCGCGGGTCCCGCAGGGCGTCGCGTGGGTCCAGCGGGGCAGCGCGCGAGCCCACAAGGCGTCACGCGGGTCCAGCGGGGGCGACGCGCGGGTCCCGCAGGGCGTCGCGCGGGTCCAACGGAGCAGCGCGCGGGTCCCGCGGGGCGGGGCGCGGGTCAGGTGGGGCGATGCGCCGAGTAGAAAACCGCCGCGCGCCCCGAGCGCGCGGAGGGAAGAAAAAACCATCGCGCGTCACGAGGCGCGCGACAGAAAGTACAGCAGCAGCGGAAGCATATGGGCCCACAGGCCAGGAGCGCAAACGCTCTGATACCATGTCAAATTAGTAGCTAAGGCTAAGAAGCCATGGCTAGGGTTTAGGGTAGAACGAGACTGGGCGTTTAGCTTCGGAGTTCTGATGGGATCCGACGTAGTAGCCGAGGTATGATCGTACCACGTCAATCACGAGCCCCGACCGTTACACACCCCTTGCCCGGGTCCCCCCTTCATAGTCACACCCCCTGCCCCTCATGCCATCCGCTCCCCCCGCCCCTAACCTCCGCATGCCCGCTCCCTCGCCGCCTCTTTTGACCCTTCCTGCCCCCCTCGCCATTTTCCACTGTCCGCCATTCGTTCCTCCCCGCCCGTTCCCTCCCCTAATTTACCTTCTCCTCCCCCCTCCCCTCCTCTGCTTCACGCTTCTTCTTCCCCCTCGCTAACCTACTCCACTCCCTGCCCCTCCTCAATCCCCCACCTGCCCCTTGTTTCTCGCCCCCCTGCACTTGGTTTCTCCCCTCTCAGCCCCTCGCCGCCTTTCTCCGCTCCCCTCCTCCCCCCTCTCCCCGCCCCCCCACTCTCCCACCCTTGTCCTTGGCTTCCCACCTCCCTGCCCCACGTTTCCCCCCTCTCTGTGCTCAGCCTCTCCCCTCCCTGCCTCTCCCTCCTCCCCGCCCTGCCCCTCGTTTTACGTCCCCCCACGCCCGGTTTCTCCCCTCCATGCACCTCCCTACCTTTCTCCGTGCCTCTCCTTTGTTCCCTCCCTGCCCCTGGCCGCCCATGCCCCTGTCCTTGGTTTCTCCCCTCCCTGCCCCGCGTTTCTTCCCTTCCTGACCTTACCTTGTACCCTCTCTACCACACAAGAACATAGAACTACACTAAGTCTACACTACAGGCAGTTACAGAATAATGTATACAATTACATTCTGACAGTGCCTGACTGTGGAATCGTCAGCCTGCATCTACCTGGCAGGTATGCACATGTGCGCAGATAGTTGCGTATGACTACAACGCATTCAAAGCACACACGCTGTAACGCAGGATCTGGCTCCGCCAAGCTGCAGCGCAAGCAAGCCGGGTTTTAGCTGATCTGGCAGAGATAGTCTTGTAGAGTGCATGCTAGGATTTGCATGCTAGTACTGCTGCATCACCTTGCCTGCATCATTTATCATTAGTGTCAAATAACTTTATTTAGTGAAACTATTCCCATTTTGCTCCCTGCACTCACAGATGCGCATACGCTGAGTAACGTCGCGACCAACCGCAAAATCCAGTAGTGTGGCACGTAGTCCATTTCCGACTGTTGACATAGGGTTCTGTCATCTTTGACGGCAAGTAAAGAAATTGTTGATTGAGCTGCAAAGTTGCATAGGGTTGAGGTTGTTCAAACTGAAAACCAAAGTTCATTGTACACAGTGCAAATCTACTGCAAAATTCAATTTGCAAACTCAGGCTTGTGTTTCTCTTCCGCGATACCTACCAAGCATGTGATGATCAGTTGGATGCGATACAAGTCTTTCCTTTGTTCTAACAGCACAAGCAAGCACGTGGACAACGATAGCTTCTTCTTTACGTCGGCAAATCGCGTGTTAAACGGCTCGTTGGAAAGCAAAGGGTGTGCTCTATCGTGTAGTACAACTCCAAATTCCTAACAACTTGAGGAGAGTCCTCTAAAACAGTATAACATTGTCTCCGGCGAGGTCGGTGAAGGCTCGACCGAGGAACGAACCTCTGCGATTAGAACGCTGCATATTCACCGTCATCGTCGTCTGCCGCTCCACAAGTTTTAGTCATTTTTCAAAGACGACCAGCTCAACGCTCTTCTTCGCGCTTGGCCAGACCCACACGAAGCTAGTCTTCCATGCATTCAATAGCAGAAAGTAGAGATGGTGTCCCGATCAACCAAGTTTGGGTGCGGCGAGGAGGTTTTGCGGGGTGCGCGATGGTCGCTCGGGTGGTTCAGGCGAATATGACCTCGGAGTGGTATCCCGAGGTCGACTTGGCCTCGGCGCCGTGCACGTAACGGTGCACGACGCACCATTCGTCTGCGAGCACATGCGTGCACCGCTGTAACCCGCAGATGCAACGCGGGACGGCCGCCTATCTGCAGCGTTGGCAAGCCGCCAACTTTCTACGTTGGCCAGTCACCACTTTGCGACTCTGGAGCTTACTCGGCATTGCAGCGCTAGCAGGCCGTCGACTTTGCTGCGCCTAGTGTCGACTACCGAGGTACCTAGTAGAGACGATTATTAGGGTGGAGGATGAGTTAATAAATAAAGCAGAGCAAATAAATGCGCATAGTGTAAAAACTATCAGTCCACGGCCATTTATGAATCGATCAGATCTTAGACGTTTCTTCAACAGAACAAATTCAGTACGAGCGAACCCATCACCAGTCCAACTTACCAAAGTACCTGATATAAGCAATTTTTATAGTTGAACATGAGTTCACACCGCGTACCCAGGAAATAAAAGCGCGATTTGCCATGTCTCGAATTCTGACGTAGTAAACTGGACAAGTCTTGCTGGACATCTTACAAAATTGGTGTGGTGGGTGTAACTAGTTTCCGCTAAGCACATCAGGCTTTATTGGTTTTCAGAATGAGCATATTGTGTTGCGCCAACGCTTGTTTCCGCCAGAACCGGCCTCACTCTCAAATTATGTATGTCCTCATTCCGAAGCAACATCTTTTCGAAGCTATCACGCAATTAATAAGGCTAGATAATGTGGGACAGGATATAGGTAGCCATATGAACTTACGTAACAGAATGCAAGACCACAAGGGAGGATGCGAGAAGGAACACCCGCCAAGGCAGACGTGATGCCAAGGCTAGCGGAAATACTGTAGCTAGGAGTAACGGACCAAGAGCAACGGTAACCATGATCGTACTTAGCGAGAATGCAGGCACTCTGTGCCTGCTTGCTTGTTTGTTTTCTCAATGTTAGCTAATGACCCAGAGGTCGTTTTGCTACCGAGGAGCCAGTTCAAGCAGGCAGTCTGCCGAGTTGCCAGTATGTGTGTCCCAAAAACCTAGCTCAGTTTTCTACAAACAAGCAAGGAGATGAACGATAATGTGAGGATCTAGAATCGAGCTCAGAAAAGAGAGTTTGAATTGAATGATTACCTGGGTACAACACGAGGCTATATATAGGCTCGACAGAAGGCCTAGTAACCAGGTGTTACGCAAAGGTTCTGAGGGTCGCGAAGCGTCCCGAACAGATCCTTCCCGAATTCGGTAGAAGGCAATTCGGTGTCAACCGAAAAGCCAGAATTCGGTGCACGCAACCTAGCTCGGTGCTATAACGACAATAAAATATAGGAAAGCACCTAGCCTAGGAAATCAAGCAATTCATGCATGCATATAAATATCATATGCTAGAAATAGCATTAAAAAGTAAAGGCAAGCAAGCATAGCTGGCATAAGCCGTCGTACTCTCACACGTCCCCCCCTCAAAGCTGGGTGGCGTGAGATACACCCTGCTTGACAAGATAGTCCTTGAGAGCACGGCGTGCGTTGCCTATATCAGCTTCTGCAACCCAGCTGTCCTCAGTGGGGTCGTATCCCTTCCAGCGTATCAGGAACTCGAAGGTCTTGCCGCCGCGGCGTCGATGAGAGAGAACGCGCTCCACTTCATACTCAGGTTCATCCTGGATGAGAACAGGTGGCGTTGGCGGTAGCTGCCGTCCCTGGAACTGTTGGTTGGGGTCCTTGTAGGGCTTCAGTAGCTGAACATGGAAAGCATTGTGAAGCTTCCACGTAGTAGGTAAGCGCAAGCGGAATATTACTGGTGTTACATGTGCCTCAACGAGAAAAGGACCGCAGAAGCGAGGCCGGAGTTTGGAAGGTAGGTGAGATAGGTTCAAGTTGCACGTGTCGAGAAGCACCCGATCTCCGACTGCTACTGAGTGATCACGTCGCTGACGATCGGCATACTGCTTCTGGGAGGTCTGCATCGTGGTGAGTCGTCGCTGAGTCTTCTCCCATAGCTGCTGCATGGTGGTGACGAAGTCATGTGCGGCTTGGACGTGTGCCGGTGTGGTTGGCTGATGTGGTGTAAGTGGTTCCCGTCCGTAACACAGGAAGAAAGGAGTTTTCCCTGTGGCCGCATGAGATTCGTTGTTGTAAGCGAACTCTAGGGTCGGTAACTGTGTGTCCCAGTGGCTGACGTCGTCTTTGCAAGCTGTGCGCAGTAACTGTTCAACCACCCGCAGGGCCGGGTTCCTTCAGCGCTTCAACTTCACGTTCTCCTCGCCTCAGGCCACTCCTCTGTCGAACGAAACGGTGCCTACCGGTACGCCTGTCACGGTGAGGATTGTGCGCCTTAGGCTTAGCTACCATCTCCAAGTTGAATCAGTAGTTAAGATGGTCCATAGAGTGAGAACAAAGTAAAAACGTCCAGCAGCCGCATGACTAGAATGGTGGAGGAAGTACAAGCATTAAGGCATAGAAAGTTGGAGTTGGGGACTCCAAGAGAACCATGAGAGGGAAGGGGTTCTCCAAGCCCTAGGGAAGGATGGTAGGAACCTTCCTAGCAGCAAGGATGCAACCCTCATCATGAGGTCCTTGAGGTGTCACATGCAAAATCCAATCTAGTTGGATTTTGCCAAGGTGTTGCAACATTTGCAACCCATGCTAGAAATTTCTAGCCACCCCAATCCAAAAGTCAAAGTTGCCTTCCTAAACCACCCAACCAAATATCCCTTTATAGTCATGTCCCAATAATCACCCAAATTATATATAACCCCAAAATGTAATAAGAAATCCAAGTCTTGGAAATCTTGTAACTTGGGCGATCTTGGTCGGAATAAGGCGATCTTGGTATCGTTGGAAAGCTCTGGATTTCTCATGCACGATCAAGCATTTAAACTTGGAGAAAAGCACAGAGATGATAATATCCAACAGCCATGCACAATGACATATGCTCATGCAAACAATGCTCGCATGAATAGCACAAACACTCGGCAGGACGTTAGGATGGCATGCACTCAGAATGACGTGCATCCAACAGGATGGTAGCGCGCGCACCCGGTGAGATAATCAACTGTATGGTGCGTCCACAGTAGCGGGCATGGCAAGCTCCCAATGCACCTGCAATTTGGGAGTTGGGGTTGTTTCAGCAATATGGTAAAGATGAAGCCACTTTAGGGTGCTTCAAACAAACAACATTGAGCCAATGGACCACGACTCTGAGAGCTAGTGTTTATGGTTCAGGGTTACTCACATTGATGTGTTTGAAGTCGCTGGCGCGTCCCACACACCCCGGGGCGGCATCAAGTGCGCCCCTTAGGTGTGCAAGATCTTCCCCAATGACATTCTATAAAAGTGCATCCTTAAAAGCCTCTGGTGCGACTGTGGTCCCTGCTGTTCAGCTCCCATGTCCTCCAGCAGCTTCCTCAGGAGCACGATCTCCTTGATGGCATGGTACATCGCCATGTACTCTGCCTCTCCAGAAGACTGAACAATCTCACTCTGCTTCTTGGACCTCCAGCTCACTGGTCCACCTCCGACCATGCACACAAAGCCGCCAACTGATGACTGATCCTCCTCCTCTGAGGCCCACGTAGCATCGGTGAAGCACGACAGCTTCAAGGTTCCAGGCGTGACCCCATCTGCTCCAATCTGTTTCAGCTGGCTGCCAGCTGAAAACTGAACACCAGCAGATGACGTCGATCCGAGGTAGCGCACCAAGCGCTTTGCCACCTCCAACTGCTCCTCAGTGGGCCGCTGCACAACTCTGGCTAACTGCCCCACTCCGAATGAAGCATCAGGTCGCGTATGCACAGCAGCATACATCACACTCCCAATAAGTGACTGGTACTCATTGTGCTGCT